CGTGCCGACTATGTTGGGCCTGATCATTCATCCACGGGATCGGTGGAGATGAGTACAAAATTCGTTGGTTGGTAATCAATTATGAAGTGGTCCATTGGAAGGAATTCCCATTGCCTCTCCGTAGAGAGCCATGGTTGCCACTGCAAGTTGTGTTGGTCATCCAATGTGCACAGTCTCTGACCCTGGTCCACCCATGAGTTGCGGAACAATTGTGTCTGCTTCGGTTCTTCCGTTTCTTGTCGAAGTCTGGTTCTGAGAGTTTTCCAGGCTTCTTGGGTCTGAGCTGTAATGGTGTCAGCAACAGTGGACCTTGCTTGTATGAATCCAAATGTTTGTTGGTTTCGTTAGTAGGCACATCTCATACGCCAAGCTGCCATGAGGATTGCCAGCCTGGTGTATTGGAAAAGGTTGAGCATAAATTGTGTCCAGTTCGCTCCTTCGGGTGGCAGCTCTCCCAGTAGGAATGCTTTTATGCTCCATGGTAGATGTTGTCTGGTGAAGTAGTGCCAAGCTGCATCCCACCAGCGCCAGAGCCGGGCCGCCATGGGACAGTCCAACAAACAGTGTTCCAGAGTGACCCTCTTTCTGGGCTGAATCATTTCACAATAGGTACACAGTGGGGAGAGCTGACCCTTTTGTTCCAGGTCGGTCCTCGCCGTGATCCAATCCGGGGTGGGCAAGCACCTACTGAGGATATTGTTCATGACGTGGTGTGGGGTCCGAGAAGCTCTGTACCCCTTTTTAACCGTATATTGCCATGGGTACATCTTGGAGTCAGTTCCCCACTGCCACTCCCATTCCATTGGGTTGAACGGGAGGTGGGACAGAGGGATGGTCAGTTCGTATACATAGCATGTTTCATCCGTGTCCTCCATAACCTGTATTCTGATGTAGTTCGTTGCCGGATGCTGGCAGTCTAGAGTTTCATCCCTCTTCACTGCTAACCACCTCGCCCCTGGTAGGGCTGGGCGGTAGGCTTGCAATTTGAGGGAGGTGGGATGTGCCTTATGCACTCTGTAGATAGTCATTGGGAGATACAGATTTTCGACTTCCACTACCCAGTCCCCTGTTTGGATTCGGGGTCCTTCCCTCAATACTCTCACCCATGCCAGTGGGATCGCTTCTTGCAGGTCACGGAGGTCTTGAGCTACTTTGGGTCCAGAGTCCATTTTTTCTCTGATTTTGTCTTCCGTATGCCAATGAGCCGTGTGATGGTCCCATATATCCCGTACCGAAAAGATTCATTTTTTCACCCACTTTGGCCATTTAGAGTTGCAGCAGAGGGAGAAAGGCTTTCCATCATGGTCTTTTAATTGGGGATGGCCAAATAGTGGTTGGTTTATGATTTCTTGCCATCTTAACGGTGTCGGTGTCTTCTTCCTCGTCCTTCCCATCCCCCCACCGCTGTGGCTCAGTTAGATCTTTTTTTTTTTTTTTTTTTTTTCCGGTGCTGGCGCCGTTAGCGTCGGTGGTGGTCGTACCCCCTGTTTGCCGCGGGCGAGGTCCCACTAGCACAGAGGATTGGATTAAGCCCCTGAACCTGGATGTGTTCTGTGCAGAGATGCAGAAAAGCAGTTCCATCTCGGTTTCCTGCAGCTCTCCACGAACACGTCCAGATTCAGGCCTTCAGATCCGATCCTCTTTGCTGGTGGGACCTCCCCCCCGGGTGAAGCAGTCACGATGGATACCCCGTTTCCCCGAACATAACGCACCCTCATTATGAATTTATGAACGTATAGAAGCAAGATTTCCTGCACGGAGGGGAGAAACGTTCGGCCGGCGCGGAGCGCACTGCCGCAGCGTTACCGGTTCGGGAGGACCGGTCTTGCCAGCCACCACCCCGGTACGAAGCCGGGCAAAGTGGCTATCGACCACCATCCCGTCCAGCAGCCATCGCTGGACCAACTCACCTCCCTTGAGGAAGGCCGAGGGGACATGGAGGCGACATGGTGAGTCAGATATATCTTGCTTCGACATCAAATTTAATGCGTACAGTGCGAAATAGGACAGACCCTTGACGCCCTGTCCCCGAAGAGTACCAACGTACCAGATCACGACGACCGGCATAGACCGCACACAGCTAGGGCAGGAAACTGCCGAGTTCATCGAAACATCGAGGAGTTGGTACCTCTGCTTGATATCCGACCCAAAACAGGTACTAATATATCCACTCTCTAAACACACTCTCTGCCCAATTCCCGGCCCTTCATCCCTCAACATTTAAGTCCTAGTCAATCCGTTGACTAGCTTCCCCAACACATCCTCTTCTCCCTCCTACCCTTCCCATACACAAACTTACCAGAGCCCCCCAACGACGCCCCCGCCACACCTGATTCATGCCCAGACATCTTCTCAGACTAAACAACGCACCCCCCCACCACCACCCAGCACGCGTGTCACCTGACCCTCAACATGAACCCATACATACCTCCGGCCGCGGTTCAAGCCGGACCAGCGGTCAACGCAACAACGTCATCCTCCCCTCACGCGTCGTTAGCTCCGACTCAGATCGCAACAACGACGGACATATCACGCATTCGTATGCTTCTCGATAGCTGCTTTGATGATGGCCTATTCCCCGAAAGCTCCTTCTCACATGGAGAAGCTGAGGTGATCGATGGAATAGGGTACCTGAACTTAAATGAGGAAGTGGACGCAGCCACGGTAGCATGGTTAAAAGAAATGACCGTCATCATAATTTTTGACTCAAGGGCTGCCAATTTTTCGATTGCACAGAGGGAACAATTTATTCGTATTTATGAGGATGCATGGTTTTAGGATCCCAATTTCAATCCATCACTGAAACGTGGTCGTACACATGTGGAAGGCCCCAATGTAATGTCTTACGTAGCACGTACACAGCAAATTGCTCAATGGATGATCTCCAAAGCTCAGGACTTCATCCCCTCGAGGGGTGGTCAAGTCAAAGTTACATTTCGCCCATGGATGACCCAACAGGAGTTGGATCAGCTTAGGCATGCCGAGTCAACAACAAAATTTCAAATTGTCACCCTTCGAGTACCACTCGGAGCCATGCTTTCCATGCGAAACGCTGTTGAACAGCTCATGGGACCGATCCTATTCATGCACCCCCTTGACAAGCAGGAGGATGAACCACGATTAGGTAACGTCAAGATAGATTGTCACCCCTAAGTCAAGGACACCTTCATGGAGTGGATCGTCCTGCGCAGACCAACAGGACAGCACATGCAAATACAATTTGCGAATCAGGACACCACCTTCTGTCAGGGTTCCATGACGAATTTGATCCTGAATGCCCCCGGTTTCATGAGTCGATGCCGGCAGGTAGGAGAGCGAGGGGCCACGGTAGAGGGCCAAGAGGAGGCAGGGGAGGTCCCCCACTACCGTACACAGGAATTCAAGGGCCGAGACCCCCCCCCACCCGCCAAACCATCCCTCCCCCCCATCACCCATCACCTCCCCCTCCCAGTCAACCCACGACACTCCTACCCCAAGCTCAGGGCCCCCTCCTCAGATCCCACCAAAATTCCCTACCGCGACCCAACCCCTCCCCCCATCTACCCCATGCTGGCCCTCAGCCAATTCCTCCACCCGCGCCCACTGCCGGCCCCTCGCGACCCCCTGGCCCCTTGGCCTCATACCAAGGACAACACACATCTGCAAACCCCCCCTCCCAACCAAATGCGTTATTAGTCGTACCTTACCAGCCTGCATCATCCTCCCCGCAACCCCAATACACACAAGTACCCTCCCTAACCCGCAATTCAACATCGGTATTCCTGAGATCCTCTCCATTAGTCTCCCTAGCCCGCCCACCCCTCCCTCCCTCCCTCCAGTTGGGTGCCCCAATCCATCAGCACCACCCAAGTCTTCAAGCCCCACGATCTACACAACCCCCAACAAGCACCGCCTCACCCCACGCCATCGCACACAATCAGCTTCAGCCTACTTACCCCCTCCCTCCCTCTTTCCCAACGCAGCCACAGTACCACACCACGTTCAACAATCCCACATTCGACCCATACCCCAATCCTTCTTCTCATTCCCACCCCCACCCTCAAACTGACACTCACCCTACATAATCATCGCAAGCAGAGGGACGCCAGTTCCTCGATCCACACACTCAGATGCTGGGGCAAGGCTTCTTTGCTCGTCCCGAGGAAGACTCAGCCATGCGCGATCAAGCATCAGCTGATTCTGCTATGCTTTATGCTCACGCCGCAAGGCACCAAGTTTCTGGCAAGAAGAACTGAAAAGGGTCTCCTCGCAATACCTACGGTCGTTGTAAGCTCCTCACCAACCAGCAAGGAGGCAATCAAAGCAATCGCAGCCACCTTCATAGCAGAGAGATTCCCATTTCGGCTGGTCCCAGGGATACGCATTGGACGAAAAACTGTGGCGGCGGCAGCGGGTGGCCGCTGACACTTTTCTATTGGAGTCCTGGACGTCAAGATTGCCCTGGATACAGCAGCCCCCTTGGCCACTCAAGGGGTTGTTTGGCTGCCATCCACATGGCTAGCATCCACAACTACTGCAGAACTCCAGGAGACTTTCCTTATTGAAGATGTCAATGCAAGGCTGGTTGCAGAGTTCTGCACCTCCCTCGCAACAGACAAGCAGCCCCATGCAGCCGGCTTCCGAAACCTGCTAATGGCACCCTGGAGCACACAGACGGAAGCAGATGGAGCAAGGAGACAGAGGCCGACAAGACAGCCAATGGAGGATACACAACAGATCCAACACGCAGCTGCTCAAGACGCGACCCATGCCCAGTTTTAAAATCGCCAATTGGAACGTCAGAGGCTTAGGGAACTCTAACGGCAAAGAGAAAAAATCCCGCCTCAAAACCTGGGTCCATGACCAGAAGGTGCAGATAACCCTCCTGCAAGAAACAAAATTGGACGAGCCTAAACTGCCGCAGGCCAATGCATGGTGGAAGGGCCCCCAGATATGGGCACCAACGAATGGAACCAAGGGCGGATGCGCTATTCTGATACATCGCAACCTGGAGGCCGACTTCATCGAGCAGGAGGTTGACATTTGGGGCCAATGGGGCTGGATTCGAATCCGCCTGGGGGAAGAAACCTGGACCATTATGACTGTGTACGTCCCGTCCGAGCCAGCAGAGCGGAGATCCTTCCCGGAGGAGCTCCCTCCCATTGTCCCAGAGGCAGACAACCTGCTGTTGGCTAGAGACCTCAACCTAACGTTGTCTCCCGGTCTAGATTCTCCAGATGTAGCGCCGAGGAAGACCGATGCAATTATGCTGGCGAACTTCATGATGGAGAGGGGGCTTACAGACACATTTCGGACTACGCATCCGACTACATCTGGTTACGCATGGTTCTCCTCCCAGAGAATCGGAGACAGACCTCCACCGAAGAGGAGACTAGATTTGGTCCTAGCCAAAGGAACCCCATGCGAAGCCCTAACAACTATAGAAAGGACAATAGAGTCGATGTTTGATCATAGGCCACTGGTCGCTTCCTTTGAGCTGGCGGAACAGCTGATCCGTGGCCAAGGCACCTTTCGTCTCAATACGGACCTTTTGAACGTACTGGGCGTCACCGACTGGATAGCTGCACATTGGAGGGACTGGAAGCGGACAAAGAGTGGATTTCAGTCGGAGGAAGAATGGTTGCAGATTGGTTTCAGAATCGTCACTAGAGCATTGGACACCTTCTCGAGGATGCAGGCAAGAGGACGCAGACAACAGGAGGAAGAATGTAGAAGGCAGATTGCAGAAGCAGAGGCGGAGTTGGAAAACGCTCTGCTGGTTGAGCTCTATTGGCAGCACAGGAGAGACAGGTGGCTGCAGAAGCTAGAGGACCTACAGGTTGAGCAACAAATACTATGGGCCAAGCGTGCACAGGAAAAGGGCATGATCACAGTTGACCGTATGACCAAGGAGACCTTCCAGCGAATTTGCCCGCCACGAGCACACGCGCTGATGCGGGAACTGCACCACCCATTCTTCCCAGAAGCCGCCGCAACCAAGGACTCAGAAACCATAGGGGAGTATGCACTGATTTATTTCAGTGATATTCTCACATCTAGACGCCAGCCGGAGCAAACCCTGCAGCAACTAAGGAGGAAAGTGATATGTGGCAAGACACAACAGTGAGACTTTCAACAGAAGCAACACAACAGCTAGAACAACCCATCACCTTGGACGAACTGAGAGAAGCGATCAAACACATGGCACGAGGCAAAAGCCTAGGATCCAACGGTCGTCCCGTCGAGTTCTATGATGCAGTCTTCGATCAGGTCGGACCGATTCTACTCGAGCATTACAATCGGATCCTTGAGGGCGGCACACTCACAGAAGATATGAAGCTGGGCATTATCGCACTTATCTATAAGAAGGGAGACAAGTGCAACATTCGCAACTGGAGGCCTATCTCCAGGCTCAACGTCTCATATACGATTTTAGCTAAGCTGCTGGCAAGAAGACTGGCTCCGCATCTCCCGCATCTCGTACACACAGATCAAGGTGCATTCGTACAGGGTCGCTCTATTGCTGAGAACATCATGATGGTTGTCGGGGCGCTGGAGATTGTGCAGAGGGAAAGGAGGCAAGTTATGCTCGCAATGCTCGATCAGGAGAAGGCATACGACCCCGTTAACTGGTCGTTCGTCTTGGCAACATTGCAGCATATGGGCTTTGGCCGAAAATACCACTATTGGGTGAAGGAACTGTACGCCAACTCCACAGCCACAGTGAATGTCAATGGATTCCTCACCCCCTTTTCTCCCTCACACAACAGCAATTTCGTCAAAACGGACATATTCTATTTTTTGAACGAAATTGAAAAGAAAAAAATTTGCCCGATTTAGGTCTATATTTTCAGCTCTTGAGGGTACGGCGTTCTGAAAACGCCCTACCCCCTGGATGCAAACTAAGTCCAGATACATCCAGGGGGGTACGGCGTTTTCAGAACGTCGTACCCCCTGGACTCCAGCTAAGTCCAGATACATCCAAGGGGTCCGGCGTTTTAAGGATGCCGGACCCTCAAGAGCTTGAAATTTCCACCTAAATCGCTTCAATTTATGAGGTTTCAATTTCGTTCAAAAAATAAAATATGTCCATTTTGACGAAATTGCTGTTACACGCTCATTGCGTTAGGGATGTCCACTAGTCTCGCTGCTCTTCGCAGTCCAGATGGAAGTCCTTCTGAATTCGCTCCAGGCCTCTAGCAGTATCCAAGGTCTGGACCTGGGCGGCGACGACGGACGACCTCCTACTAGTCATGGAAGCAATGTCCGATTCAATGAGTGAAGCCAAAGACTTGCTGGACAGGTACACATCGCTGTCGGAGGCACGGGTGAACTGGGACAAGTCAGTGTATTTCCTCCCTGCAGAATACAATCTCAAAGGGCAAGACTGGGGTATGAAGCGAATCCCCCCAAACCTGTCAGAGCGCTACCTAGGCGTCCAAGTCTCTCTGGGGAACGCAAACCCGAAGCAACATGCAATCCTCGAGGCCAAAACACAAGCGGGGACATGCACTCCTAATTACATCAGTAGTCTTCGCACAGCTCTGGTTCGTGGCGGCAGTCTGCCTCCTATCCAAGCCCGCAGTCAAGCTCCTAACAGCAGACGCTGCACGTTACCTATGGAAACCAGCTGCACAAGAGGGGCAGGGCTACATCTCCAAGTGTGCCTGGGCTAAGGTAACTGCCCCAAAGAAACAGGGGGGGTTGGGGATAGTGGACCCAAGAAGTCAGAACCTTGCTTTACTTATGAAATGGCTCCTCAGAGCTGCCATGCAGACGAACTGAAGGAACTGGCTTGCCATCTTGGAGTATATCCTACAACAGGAGCTATCCCTGGCCCGTAAAAAAGACAACTGGACTTGCATCTTCATGAAGTCTTATCAGAGAAGGCGACTGCGATCACCAGTGGCCAATGCCTGGTGGACAGCATGAAGCACTCTACTTCCTCCACGAGCCAGTAACAAAGGAAGAAGTCCTCCAGCAGGCCATTTTTGAGAATAACTCAATCCGTAACACCCAAGACGTTCCTTTCCAAGCCACCCCAGCGCCAGGCAACTTCAGGCGACACTGGATCGAACGAGGAGTCACCAGGATACAGGACCTCTGGGACCACGAAGCAGACAGTTGGGCAACAGATCAACAGCTCAAACAGAAACTGGGCCACTTGCAATTAATCTCCACCCGAAGCTTGCAGATACGAAACGCTATCCCCCCGCATTGGAGGGATTTACTGTACTCAAAAGATCCGGTGGAAGGAGAGTGGTATCAAAGAGCAGAAGAAGAAGAGCCCAGGGCCACTTTGCGGATGGTGGAAAAGCTGGACGACCATACTTGGCTTGCACAAGAATGGTTACCAGAGCTAACACAGGCCACAAACAACAACAAGCTCAAGCTGGTCGGAGACATAGTAACGCACCCAAAGCAGAAGCTGCAGCAGGTTCGTGTTCACACCACAGCCACCGAAACCGGTGCCTCCCACGAGCTTCTCATGCAGGGCCTGCCACTGAGAACGCTCAGAATCGACCCGCAAGCCCACTTCTGGAAGTCAACAGCTGGACAAACAAAGTACCTCTATCAGTACACATCCAGGCTGGGAAGGCAACTCCAGAGCAAAGCACAGGACCTTCCGAAGGAGGTGGCACAGAGGCTAAACAATGCCACGGGTGCGCCACAAAGGTCAACAGAAGGGAGCCTCCGAACGCTATGGGAACAGTTACCAGCGCTCCCATCGCAGAAACTTGCAGGGCTTTCGTGGCAGCTATCACAATGCGCGATCCCAACAGCTGTTTTGCTGTTTGAAAAAGGAATGGACATTGAAACCAAATGTCTGCGATGCGGCGGCATGCAAGAGGAGACATTGAACCATCTGTTCTGGTCATGTCCCGCCTCTAAGCGCATCTGGCAATGGTGGGAAAGGCACTGGTACAGATTTGTTGGTCCGCTGCTGGCATGGGATGAAACCTGGGCAATCCAAGGCCACATTCCACCTACTTGGTTTAGAAGAGTGGACAGAGGGTATGTAGCACAAGCAATTCGCTCCATACTCCTGTGGGTTATACGGGAGGACCGCAACAACATCCTGTTCAGGCAGCAGTGGACTAATGACGCGGCAATCATCAAGAAGATCAAGGCATGGATACGGATTATGATCCGTGTTGACTGGATCCGAAGAGCAGCATGAGGTCGCTCATCCAGAGGCAGACGCTGGTTTCTGGTCACTTGGGCCAGAGACAACAAGCTCGCAGCAGTAACGCATGCAGGCAGACTGGTCATTACCCCTTGGCTGTCCAACTGAACCCTTGATAGCCAGCACTCCCCCCTCCCCTCCCCTTCCCAGCACCCCAACCTCCGTCCCACTTTCAAAACCAGGACACTCGGTTTCTGTCGGCAGTCGCAGTAGGCTGCAGGTGGTGGAGGTTGGGAGAGTGTCAACCCTCTTGCAGGAACGTAGGTTCCGCTCGGTCGTCCTTCTCATTGTTACACCTGGGTCAGACCAGTAAAGTTAGGTCTGTGAATTTCCTTTCCTTTCCCCCACCCTCCTCCTTCCCCCCCTGTCGCTTTCCTCCCCCTCTCATCTCCCCCAACCCTTATCCTGTCCCTCGCCCCCAACCTCTTAAGTGTTCTGTTAGCTCCCATGGTTGAGTTGAGCTGGGCTCCTCCCTTCTTTAGAGGTACAGAGCTTTTTTACCGGAATAAGTAAGAAATGGCTTAGGTTTTCTCAGGTTCAGAGGCTCGCCACACAGGCTGTCGAAAATCGAAATTCTTCAACAGCTGTCAGGGATTTTTCGACAGTCATGCGTTCGACAATTTTTCCCCCTATGGCCACACAGGCTGTCGAAAGGGCGTGGCTGTAGAGATTGGCAAGCGACAGGTCCTGTGTGGCGATGCGAGCGGCCTGTACCTGGCCCATAAACGAGGATATGGGGTAGTCCCTGGCCACACAGACATTCGACGGCGCTGCGGACAAAAGGAACACATTTGTCAGTGGGTAGTGCCTGAAGTGAAAAAAGCAAGCGTTTCTCGACAGCTCCCAGGAGCACTGTCAAGAAACCGTGCACCGCAGGCGGGAGGAAACTTGTTCAACACGGCGGCTGTCGAAAGAGGAAGTCTGACACTTTTCGAAATGTTTTTGTCGAAAGAGGAAGTCTGACACTTGTCGAAATGTTTTTGCGACGAAATTCTCGACAGTCTGTGTGGCGACGAGAAACTGTCGAAAACCTCGTTTTCGACAGCCTGTGGCGAGCCTCTCAGACTCTCTATTAGTGACTCTTTCAACGGGTTTCTGGACTCCAGCCTTAATTGCTGTAAGCTAAACCGGCTGATGCTGCCGGGATAACCCCGGGTTGAATTGTGAGGTCCCCGGCCTCAACTTGATATTCTTGTAATAAATGGCTCCTTAAAAAAAAAAAAAAAAAAAAAAAAAAAAAAAAGGTTTCCTGCACATTACCGTCAATCAGGACGGGGGTGCGTTATGTTCGGGGGAAGCTTGTAGCACTCGCGGGCCTATAAATAGACATATAAGATAAGATTAAAAAATGGAAAATAATATCCAGAAGAGGCCAAAAGACAAAAACGAGCCAAAATGCCAAAAATGTCGTGCAGGCATATCACCGTCCGATGCTGCGCACAAACGGACAGGGACAGAGAGAAAGTGATCTGTAAAAAGCTGTGCAATCCACATAAATCAACCCGTCGCGAGGCAACGTGCGACAAAAAAAACAATTAAAACGCAGGAAGAAAAAGATACGTTGTGCGACATGTCGACCGCACAGCTCTTTGCGCGCGATGGGCTGGGCTGCCTTTTCTTTTTTTTTTTTCCCCCCTTCAAAACTGGGCTGCGTTTCCAGGTGCCAGAAAAGGACAAAAAAAAAAAGACGAAAGAGAACCCCGCCTTCCCTGATCCCGCATTGTGCGGCAAGGAAGGACAGAGAGCGCGTCTCCAGGTGGACAAAAAAAAAAAAAAAAAAAAAAAAAAGGGTAGCAGCACCTCCTACCGCTCTGTGCGGCAGCAGGGGACAGAAGGTTTCCCGACTTGCAGGGGGCTGGAAAAGCGGTCGAGGGCCCAAGTGGCGGGGTCCAGCTTCCATAGGTTGCCCCGCAGTTCGCGAACGTCTACAGAGGAGAGCAAGTAAGGGTATATACTCTCACTAGGACGTCTTCACCTAATTCTGGCCGTAATTGCGGTCAGATACATTCCAGTCGGGCCGTGGATGGCATGAGATATATTTGAAGTATAGAGCTCGGAAGAGTACGCCCTACGCCCTAATTGCCATCCATCCAAAAAAAAAAAAAAAAAAAAAAAGCCATCCAGGTGCGACCAAAGCCACAGATGTCCGATAGCAGACAGAACATGGAGACGACAATTGTGCGACAGCAGAGGACAGACAGAATCCCACCTTTCAAGGTTTGACAAGGAATAGCGATAGGGGGGCGATTATTCTGCGACAGCGAAGAACAGACGAACACAGCCGAGCAAAGAATAGGGGCCGGAGGAGATAGTACCCACCCACCACTCAAAAAGCACACGGCGGCAAGATCAACTGCTGGGGGACTGTATCTGCCAGGATCTGCAACTGGCAAAGGAATCATAAGCTCTCCCTATTGTTTTTTAATTTTTTACTAAAAACAAAGTAGGGGTAACTTCAGTAGAGTCACAAAAAAGACTTAAAATTGCACTATGGGGCAAGATACAGTTTGCAATTGCACTTGGGGCACCCTACCTATCTGCCTTCAGATTCTTACGGACTGGTTAGGGAGCTCCATCAGTAAGAGAAAGGGATACCAGTGTTTTTTTTTGTTTTTTTTTTTTTTTTTTTTTCCGGGGTTTTTTTTTTTTTTTTTTTTTTTTTTCGAAGTGGCCTCAAGAGGCCCGCAAAGAAAATTGCGTATGCTGCTTTGTGTGCTCACACCACGGTATTCTTTAGTAAAAGGCGAAAGAATAGTACGCCATATGAGGTGGGCACGCAGCTGCATTCCTGGACAGCTGGTTTCCGAGAGTCCAGGCCAAAAAAAAAAAAAAAAAAAAAAAAAAAAAAACTACCAGGCCAGAGGCAACCTATTGGCAGCTGTTACTTCAGAGAGAAAGCTATGATCCTGGGACACTGCTAGGGGCACTTGCTCGTACCAGCGTCCCTAGCAGCCGATCGGGCTGTATCTTTAAAAAAAAATAAAAAATAAAAATCCTGGGGATCTCAAAGACTTTCGCTGGTCACAATACACCAATATAATGCCAACTGCCCATAGGGCACTCCAGTGGCAGATTTTTTTTTTTTTTTACGAAAAGCCCAGGGTGTTGTAGAGGCCGCTTACTAGGCACACATTGATCGCCAGGAGCAGKCAGCCATGGTCGTCCTGAGGGAACGAGGCTACCTTCCCATCCCATCCTCACGTCAATACTCCTAGCGCACCCCCTATCTCTACTATCCTACCTCAGTGTGACTAGCACTCAGGACCATTGCCCCTATCTAGGGGAACTTGGACCAAACAGCAGTGACAGGCACCAGGGCTAGCCATGACCCAGCCCTGGTGGAAGCGGAATCGAACGAGCCTCGTCGCACGGGACTTCGGACGCCAGGTACAAGCAATCTCCTACTAGCCCCTAAGTTGACCAACTGGTAACTCATGCCCTCTACTCGCCCACCACAGTCCAAGTTGATTGTAAGGCGGGGTACTTATCCTCGAAACGCCTATCATCATCGTCAGTTAATCCAGACCAACCAGTGACCCACGCCCTCTACTCGCCTCCACAGCCCTAGTCTGCCACACACAGTCTAGCTGATATTAAGGGGGGTACTTATCATCGAGACGCCTATCATCATCATTAGTTGACCCAGACCAGCCAGCGACTCACGCCCTCTACTCACCCACCACAGACCTAGCTGATATTAAACCACCAGTACTCGGCCCAGCTATGGGCCGCGGAAAAAAATAGAGTAGAAACATTTCTAGTTGGATGAATTTGGGTGCTCCTGTAGTGGCCCATACGTTTCCTAAAATCGCGTAGCGTTAGGAAGTACTGGTGGTTTAAGGGGGATACTTATCATCGAACGCCTATCATCATTATCAGTTGATCGTGACCGTCTCCCAGCCCTATGGTTGTGAATGTGTATATGTACTCTGTATCTTAGATGTGTGCCCATGGGCTATGTGTATGTTCGTTATGTGTATGTGGACCCGATTTCATAGCAGACGCTGCTCCCCACCATGGAGCATCTGCAAGGTGAGTGTATAGTATGTGTGTATGCCACTGTATGGTATGCATCATAGTTGTGCTATCTGGGGTGGTATCTCTGTGTGTGGATGTATGTGGTAGAGACAGGCCTAATATCTGGACAGGACTCCCCCCAAAGTCCGAAACCGGACTTGAACCTGTGACCTACAGTATGAAACTGGAGGGTTCTACCACATGCACTTATAATGTGTGTAATGTCTGGGCTGGGGGAGATCATCAGAGAGACCAAAGCCAACAACAACCAGCAACCAATGTGAAGTCTAGGCCAGCATACAACACCCATGGACTGACCCCCGGGTGGTGCACAGGCAGTGTCTGTAATAGTACCATGCGTCAGCTCAGGGGTGTGTGTGTCCAGCCGTGCGTCATTCTAACGCCCTGCCGGTGTCCATGCGCAAGGCTGCGGAGTTTTGAACCCGCAACCTCATACCACAATGCGCATTTCCAACCGGTGCTTTTGTCCATCCACTAAACTCCGCTTTGTTTCGCTGTAGTTTCATTCTGTTCTGCCTTTTTTTTTTTTTTTAAACAGTTTCTGTTCTGACTTTGCCTGTGCCATCCTCTTTCTTCCTCTGTCTACTGACAAGGAGTATTCTCATTTTCCTTTTTTTTTTTTGAATTATGATTTTGTTTGAATGGCATTGTCTGACCTGACTGAGGCCACCATCGCTGTGACTACCGTCGACTCCAGTTTGCTTCTTGAAGATTTTTTCTTTTTTTTTTTCTTTTTCTTTTTTTTTTTTGGGTCCAATCGCTCCATCTATTCATCGGGAGCGTCACGTGCTGGAAACCAGGTCCAGCATCCCTCTCGAACAAGTGTATTGAAAGTTCACAACACGTCCCACAGGTCAGGGAGAGGGCGTCTTCAACCCCTTGAGGCCACCAAAAAGGACATGAAAATCTAGCCCTCAGCTCCCATCCTATGATAGGAATAACCCTGGGATTGTAACAGTCTCTGAAGAATTCAACTATCTACAAAGTCCGTGAGCACACACGACGTCTAAATCAACATCAGTCCATTCTCCTAGAACTTGAAAAT